GAGGAGAAGAGAGAGAGGACGAGAGGAGAGAGAGAGAGAGGGAGAGAGGGAGAGAGAGAGGGCGGTGCAGGGAAGGCAATACTGAAGCAGCGAGGGCTTAGTAAATATATATTATCTCCTTTCAAAGCTGACCCGAGACGGCAGCGAGGAAGTCAGGACTTCCGTCTTGGATAACTGCGTAAAGTAGCGTGTTTGTGTGTGTGTATGTTTGTGTGTGTGTGTGTGTGTGTGTGTGTGTGTGTTTGTGTGTGTGTGTGTGTGTATATTTGTACATATTTGTACCCGTATTTATGTCTGCAGTATCGAGCATTACCTCTTATTGTGCTGGACGGTAGAGCGACGGTCTTCTTTCATGCAGGTCGGCGTTCAATCCCCGATCGTCCATAAAGTGTTTGGGCGCCATTCCTTCCCCCTTTCCCCCCCCCCCCGGTCCCATCCCAAATCCTTATCCTGACCCCTTCCCAGTGCTATATAGTCATAATGGCTTACCTCTTTCCCACAGCACCGCTCATGTGCCAGGTAAGTCTACTACGGGTTCACCATAGCCCGTGCTACTTGGAACCACACCCTTTCCCCATTCACTCCTATTCTATAAATTCAGCGTAATCCTGAATCCTGAAGGCAGCGTCTGAGATACTCTTTGGACGCAGGTTCGAATCCTCGTCATGGCCCTTGTGGATTTGTTCATTTGATACATCACGCTATTGTGATTTTCTGTGTGTAGTTTAGTGTAGTGTAATCCTGATATCCATTTGCCAATCCAATTCAGTTGTTGTTGTTAAAGATTCGCTACTTGAAAGACAAAGTTCCAAGTAGCACGGGCTATGGTGAGCCCGTAGTCCAATTCGGTTGTTATAGCCTTTAAGTTAACATTCTACAAGTATTTTTTTTTAGTCAATAATGCTGCCTATCCGGCCCTCCTATCATGCTGTTTCTCCTCATGCTATTTCATAATCCATTGAAAAAAATTAGCATTTGTAATCATTCCAGTTAGTTTTTGAAAATAATTATATATGTGTGAAATACGTCTCACTTTAATATTATCCTATAATGCGTATTATAGCGTATACTTTTGGGCCACTTTATCTAGCCTAATTTTTTTTTGGTGGGGGGGGGGGGAGGGGTTTAAAATTGTTAATTTACATTTATCTATTATTTGATATTGATTATAAAGCGCTATTTCAGTCATTTTATTTCCTGGTTATCTTGAGATGATTTCGGGGCTTTAGTGTCCCCGCGGCCCGGTCCTCGACCAGGCCTCCACCCCCAGGAAGCAGCCCGTGACAGCTGACTAACACCCAGGTACCTATTTTACTGCTAGGTAACAGGGGCATAGGGTGAAAGAAACTCTGCCCATTGTTTCTCGCCGGCGCCGGGGATCGAACCCGGGACCACAGGATCACAAGTCCAGTGTGCTGTCCGCTCAGGCACCGGCTCCTCATTTGCTAACTCAACTATCTCAACTTATTTGTGTAATAATTATTTTCCTTCCTTTACTATATAACTCTGGATAAGTTATAGACAAACATTTACATCTATAAAAGTGTGTCTATAACTCCCTATAACTATAACTCCTTGGAATTTTCTTACTTATAAGTGAAGAGGCTCATCAGATGAAAGGAAACGCCACCCAAACGCTTCTGTCTTAACACGGGACACGTATTAAGGTCTGGTAGAGTTGACTATGGCGCATTTGGGAAAATCCCGGGCGTAGGTTCGATCCCTTATGGATTTGTTCCAATTAATGGCCTTTCCAGTGGGGCCAATTGCCATTATCTCAATGGCCTCAGGTCCCTGACTGCAGTCCAGAATCCAGATTCACGAAGCAGTTATGCAAGCACTTACGAACCTGTCCATCATTTCTCAACCTTTGGCGGCTTTGTTTACAATTATTAAACAGTTAATGAGCACCGAAGCACCAGGAGGCTGTTTATAACAACAACAACAGTTGATTGGCAAGTTTTCATGCTTGTAAACTGTTTAATATATCTAACCAAAGCCGTCAAAGATTGAGGAAAGATGCACACGTTCGTAAGTGCTTGCGTAACTGCTTCGTGAATCTAGCCGCAGGTCCGTAAGTGCTTGCGTAACTGCTTTCGTGAATCTGGCCGCAGGTCCGTAAGTGCTTGCGTAACTGCTTCGTGAATCTGGCCGCAGGTCCGTAAGTGCTTGCGTAACTGCTTCGTGAATCTGGCCGCAGGTCCGTAAGTGCTTGCGTAACTGCTTTCGTGAATCTGGCCGCAGGTCCGTAAGTGCTTGCGTAACTGCTTCGTGAATCTGGCCCCAGGTCCGTAAGTGCTTGCGTAACTGCTTTGTGAATCTGGCCGCAGGTCCGTAAGTGCTTGCGTAACTGCTTTCGTGAATCTGGCCCCAGGTCCGTAAGTGCTTGCGTAACTGCTTCGTGAATCTGGCCGCAGGTCCGTAAGTGCTTGCGTAACTGCTTCGTGAATCTGGCCGCAGGTCCGTAAGTGCTTGCGTAACTGCTTCGTGAATCTGGCCGCAGGTCCGTAAGTGCTTGCGTAACTGCTTTCGTGAATCCTGGTCCTGATCACTCGAACAATGCAACTAATGACTCTATTAACTACACATTACAAGACAATTTACCCACAAAAACCTGAGTTTTATACCCAAGCAACAGCTTCGATAATTGAAGTATTAATCATGCAAGACCCAATTAATAATTTATTAAATTTTATGATGAGGCTTCAGAATCGGTTTTAATTCAAAATAACTCAAAATATGAAGTTCTAAATGATTAAAAACTTACCTGATATTATTAAGTGATGTGAGGGCTGTCACACCTGACGTAGAGTAAACAATTCATCTTGTAATTAATGAACCTAATGACCGACATTGTGTTAACGAGGTTTAAAGATGTTTGGACACGTCTGTGAGCGCTCTTGCGTCCTGGTTCTCCTGCGTCCTCTTGCGTCCTGGTTCTCCTGCGTCCTCTTGCGTCCTGGTTCTCCTGCGTCCTCTTGCGTCCTGGTTCTCCTGCGTTATCTTGTAGCTTGGTTCTTCTCTACATTCTTGCGTCCTGGTTCTTCTCTTCAGTCTTGCGTCCTGGTTCTCCTCCAACTCTTGCGTCCTGGTTCTCCTGCAGACTCTTGCGTCCTGGTTCTCCTGCTCATTCTTGCGTCCTGGTTCTCCTGCTCACTCTTGCGTCCTGGTTCTTCTCTACACTCTTGCGTCCTGGTTCTCCTCCACACTCTTGCGTCCTGGTTCTCCTCCTCACTCTTGCGTCCTGGTTCTTCTCCTCACTCTTGCGTCCTGGTTCTTCTCTACACTCTTGCGTCCTGGTTCTCCTCCACACTCTTGCGTCCTGGTTCTCCTCCTCACTCTTGCGTCCTGGTTCTTCTCCTCACTCTTGCGTCCTGGTTCTTCTCCTCACTCTTGCGTCCTGGTTCTCCTCTATACTCTTGCGTCCTGGTTCTCTATACTCTTGCGTCCTGGTTCTCCTCTACACTCTTGCGTCCTGGTTCTCCTCAACACTCTTGCGTCCTGGTTCTCCTGTGCACTCTTGCGTCCTGGTTCTCCTGCTCACTCTTGCGTCCTGGTTCTCCTCCTCACTCTTGCGTCCTGGTTCTCCTGTGCACTCTTGCGTCCTGGTTCTCCTGCTCACTCTTGCGTCCTGGTTCTCCTCCTCACTCTTGCGTCCTGGTTCTCCTCCTCACTCTTGCGTCCTGGTTCTTCTCTACACTCTTGCGTCCTGGTTCTCCTCTATACTCTTGCGTCCTGGTTCTCCTCTACACTCTTGCGTCCTGGTTCTCCTCTACACTCTTGCGTCCTGGTTCTTCTCCTCACTCTTGCGTCCTGGTTCTCCTCCACACTCTTTCGTCCTGGTTCTCCTCCTCACTCTTGCGTCCTGGTTCTTCTCTTCACTCTTGCGTCCTGGTTCTCCTCTATACTCTTGCGTCCTGGTTCTCCTCTACACTCTTGCGTCCTGGTTCTTCTCCTCACTCTTGCGTCCTGGTTCTCCTCTATACTCTTGCGTCCTGGTTCTCCTCTACACTCTTGCGTCCTGGTTCTCCTCCACACTCTTGCGTCCTGGTTCTCCTCCTCACTCTTGCGTCCTGGTTCTCCTCCTCACTCTTGCGTCCTGGTTCTCCTGTGCACTCTTGCGTCCTCGTTCTCCTCCTCAATCTTGCGTCCTGGTTCTCCTCCGCAATCTTGCGTCCTGGTTCTCCTCCGCAATCTTGCGTCCTCGCATCACTACATTTGTCATGTTTACAAATCACCTCTGAAGTCCCAGTGATTCACCAACCTATTTCTTCCCCTATTACGTATCGTCAAATTGCTGTCCCGGGCACTGCCGGTGAGCTGAGGCTGCTTCACTTCCAGGATAGACTTTCCCGTGCTGGAGGCCTAAGTTGCCGTTTATATATCCGGGGATTTTAAGTGCGTAAAATAGGTTATCTTGAGGTTATCTTGAGATGATTTCGGGGCTTTTTTAGTGTCCCCGCGGCCCGGTCCTCGACCAGGCCTCCACCACCCCCCAGGAAGCAGCCCGTGACAGCTGGCTAACTCCCACGTACCTATTTTACTGCTAGGTAACAGGGGCATAGGGTGAAAGAAACTCTGCCCATTGTTTTTCGCCGGCGCCTGGGATCGACCCCAGGACCACAGGATCACAAGTACAGTGTGTTGTCCGCTCGGCCGACCGGCTCCCCAAATTCGGTCCGTCCTGGACCATTCTCAAGTCGACAATTGACTTGAGAATGGTCCAGGACGGACCGAAACGTCGTCGTCCCTTCACCTTCTAGTGTGTGGTCTGGTCAACATACTTTAGCCACGTTATTGTGACTCATCGCCTACATTTGGTTAACTAGCAGTTCAGTCAACGGTTAAATATACTTGAGTTAAAGCGACAATTAACCTTACCTGATACAATCTGGAGTCCCAGGCAACTACAGGATTGTCGAAAAATAAGAGTACCATAACTCTTGTGATGGCACTGAAAAGAAATGCCAAAGAAATAGACATCCAAACGATACCTTTTGAGCATCTAAAATAGTGATGACGTGTGTGTAACTGTTCTATATATGTATGTGTACAAAGTACATATGGAAGCTGATCAGAATTACATTTCACCTTTGTAAATGCACATTAATGACACTATGTAAAAGACACATCGAACACTTTATGTAGGGCATACGTAAATCTGTGTATCTATGTATTTACGTATGTAGGTTAGCTTAGCATTTTAAAAGCACCGAATCACCTTCTGTGGTTGAGTGTTCAATAAACCACTGAACTATATGTTTAACACATCTCTAACCCTGTCCATGGAGGACAGAAGAAAATGTATATATGCTGGTTAGCATTGTAAATGTGTGGCCACGTTTGTGGTAGAAAAAAAAACTGTTCCATAGATCCTTGAGATGAATCGTGTCTGTTTTAGAGTAAATATTGTACGGTGGTTTCATGCTATGAGTTAAGATTACGATGATATATGACAGGACTGAGATATAATGATATATTTGCGTATATATTTGATATAATGATTTACTCGTGCCTCGAGTTTTCACAGATTCATGAGAATCAGGTGCATTTAGAAACTCTGATTCTTTGAGTCTGATCAACGAAGTTGTTGGACTTTTGCGTTGCTTGATAGCAACTTGTTTTTGCTTTTTTAAGACTTGGTGATTGTGTGGAAGACCTGAGTGGAAGTATCCTGTTCAATCAGACTGTTGGGTGATGCTGATCATTTGTTCTCGTGTTGTAGGTGATTATATTAGATTGTTTAGACACTATTATACTAGTAGAAACAAGTATGACGTAGTGTTGTTAAAGAAATTAAGCAGTTAACAGGCTGCCTTTTATCTTTTGTCTATAAAACCTTTAAGATAAAAAAATATATAAATGCCAAACCCATAGATTTTCATCTTAACATTAGATTACAAAGTCCTGCAATCAGAACAATTTTAATATTTAATGCACATTGGTTCCAAAATTTTGGAGATAATGGCTTCCATGGTCAGGTGGTAGTTCACAGTCAGATCCCTCTCACACCAACGCCCCTCAACAAACGAGTCACACCCGTGACCCCTCCGTGACCCCTGTGACCCCCCGTGACCCCTGTGACCCCCTGCCTCTTTCCCTCCAACAGGAAGTTTCGAGGACGTAGGACTACTGCCCAAGTTCATCGAGGACGTCCCGAACATCACCGTCACTGTGGGTCGCGACGCCCTCCTTCCCTGCACCGTCGAGGGACTCATGGGCTTCAAGGTAAGACGCAAGGACGCAAGGTAAGAAGCAAGGACGCAAGGTAAGAAGCAAGGACGCAAGGTAAGATGCAAGGACGCAAGGTAAGAAGCAAGGACGCAAGGTAAGAAACAAGGACGCAAGGTAAGAAGCAAGGACGCAAGGTAAGACCTACATCTTCCCCAGGGTCTCAAGTCACAGGTGTACCGACAGAGGTGCCAGCTTCTCGGTAGATACACACTTGGGTATTTTGCTTTAACTATGGGCATTGTGGTGGTCTTAATAACCCTCCAGAGGCTGATAGGCCGTAAGTCCAACACCAGACCGATGAGGGTAAGACACGTCCTGCACTTGGCCATTGTTTTGATGCTTCAAGACAAAGTCCATTACTTCTTGAGTTCTTCAAAACACTTGCTTAGTGTTCTAAGGCTTGAAGACAAAGTCCATTACTTCTTGAGTTTTTCAAAACACTTGGTTAGTGTTTTGACGCTTCAAGACAAAGTCCATTACTTCTTGAGTTCTTCAAAACACTTGCTCAGTGTTCTAAGGCTTCAAGACAAAGTCCATCACTTCTTGAGTTCTTCAAAACACTTGCTCAGTGTTCTAAGGCTTCAAGACAAAGTCCATTACTTCTTGAGTTCTTCAAAACACTTGCTTAGTGTTCTAAGGCTTCAAGACAAAGTCCATCACTTCTTGAGTTCTTCAAAACACTTGCTTAGTGTTCTAAGGCTTCAAGACAAAGTCCATTACTTCTTGAGTTCTTCAAAACACTTGCTTAGTGTTCTAAGGCTTCAAGACAAAGTCCATTACTTCTTGAGTTCTTCAAAACACTTGGTCAGTGTTCTAAGGCTTCAAGACAAAGTCCATTACTTCTTGAGTTCTTCAAAACAAGCCCATTTTCCTCAGAGATTCAAAATATCAACGTCGTAAGCACCTTCTTTCTAGTTACTTTAAGGTCAAATCTTCCATTCTTTAATATTTCACTATGACGTTCGCTTCTCCCTTCAGGGGCTTAAAGTACAATCACCAAAAGCTGGTACCTTGGACGTAATGATCATGTTCTCGCAGAACTTCAAAAAAGACTATACTAATCTTAAATTATACCATACTATACACTATATTCCTTACCCTGTCCATGGAAGACAGAAGAAAATGAATTTATGTTGGTTAGTATTATAAATGTCTGGCCACGTCTGTGGTAGGAAATAAAAGTATTAAAAATAAATAATAATAAGAATAAATATATCTATATAAGCCAAAGGTATTTTGCAAAGTATTCCACTTTGACAAAGAATATAGGATCTAAAATAACCGACGGCCAGGCTGTCAGCTTCCAGTCGACGGCCTGGCTGTTGGCTTCCAGTCGACGGCCAGACTGTTGGCTTCCAGTCGACGGCCAGGCTGTTGGCTTCCAGTCGACGGCCAGGCTGTTGGCTTCCAGTCGACGGCCAGGCTGTCGGCTTCCAGTCGACGGCCAGGCTGTCAGCTTCCAGTCGACGGCCAGGCTGTTGGCTTCCAGTCGACGGCCAGACTGTTGGCTTCCAGTCGACGGCCAGGCTGTTGGCTTCCAGTCGACGGCCAGGCTGTTGGCTTCCAGTCGACGGCCAGACTGTTGGCTTCCAGTCGACGGCCAGGCTGTTGGCTTCCAGTCGACGGCCAGGCTGTTGGCTTCCAGTCGACGGCCAGGCTGTTGGCTTCCAGTCGACGGCCAGACTGTTGGCTTCCAGTCGACGGCCAGGCTGTTGGCTTCCAGTCAACGACCAGACTGTCAACTTCCAGTCGACGATCTAGAACTCAACGAACATTAACAGTGAAACAAAATCCCCAAACAGAACCGATTCCCCTATTCACCAAACCAATTCCTATCCTGGATAGGCCCACAACAGGCCGACGACCTGACCTCCATCCCCGTCTCCTCCTGCAGGTGGCATGGGTGCAGGTGGACACGCAGACTATCCTAACTATCCACAAGCAGGTAATCACCAGGAACCCCCGGGTGGCACTCCTCCACAACGACCACCGGACGTGGCACCTTCAGATCAAGAACGTGAGGGAGATTGACCGCGGCTGGTACATGTGTCAGGTCAACACCGACCCCATGAGGTCACGCCAGGGATACGTCGATGTTGTCGGTGAGTGAGTGACGTCTGGTGGTGAGTGACGTCTGGTGGTGAGTGAGTGACGTCTGGTGGTGAGTGAGTGACGCCTGGTGGTGAGTGAGTGACGCCTGGTGGTGAGTGAGTGACGCCTGGTGGTGAGTGAGTGACGCCTGGTGGTGAGTGAGTGACGCCTGGTGGTGAGTGAGTGACGTCTGGTGGTGAGTGAGTGACGCCTGGTGGTGAGTGAGTGACGTCTGGTGGTGAGTGAGTGACGTCTGGTGGTGAGTGAGTGACGCCTGGTGGTGAGTGAGTGACGCCTGGTGGTGAGTGAGTGACGTCTGGTGGTGAGTGAGTAACGCTTGGTGGTGAGTGACTGAAGCTTGGTGGTGAGTGAGTGACGCTTGTTGGTGAGTGAGTGACGCCTGGTGGTGAGTGAGTGACGCCTGGCGGTGAGTGACTGAAGCTCGGTGGTGAGTGAGTGACGCCTGGTAGTGAGTGAGTGACGCCTGGTGGTGAGTAACTGAAGCTTGGTGGTGAGTGAGTGACGCCTGGCGGTGAGTGACTGAAGCTTGGTGGTGAGTGAGTGACGTCTGGTGGTGAGTGAGTGACGTCTGGTGGTGAGTGAGTGACGCCTGGTGGTGAGTAACTGAAGCTTGGTGGTGAGTGAGTGACGCCTGGTGGTGAGTAACTGAAGCTTGGTGGTGAGTGAGTGACGCCTGGCGGTGAGTAACTGAAGCTTCCCAACACGAAGCTTCAGTTACTCATTCCTGCCATCTGTCACTCATTCAGGTACTCAGCCAATCACTAATAACATAACAAATTGTTCTTAAATCAATCCCTAAAAACACAGTCGATCAATCTTAATTACTCGGTCAATGGATTTTAATTAATTAGCTGATTAATCAATCATAACTAATCAGTCGAATAATTAGCCTTAATCAGTCAAGTAACCAGGTAACTTACAAATGAATTAACCCTTAAAGATATTAATTAACTAATCAAATAATTATATAGTTACTCAGCTGGTTAATCAGTCAATTAATCGGTCATTAAGGTAGTCAAGAAACCGACAAAATCCTTAGTAAGTCAACGAACTAGTGAACCAATTAGCATGCTTGCTAATAGGCCAATTAATTAGTAATTATCTAAACTGACGAAAAGCTAACAGATTGATCAATTTACAGTTCGGTTAATAAAGCAATTAATCAATTATTTGACAAGTTATCCAATAAATTAATCCAATCCATCAAAAAATTATATATATATATATATATATATATATATATATATATATATATATATATATATATATATATATATATATATATATATATATATATAAATCTATCTATCAACGAGCCGATAGGGATAGGGAGACCACTGTGTAGATTAATCAATCTCTCAATCCCCTTGTTACGGGGGTAGAGGGAATTGAACTCGCAACCTATCTTTCCAAAGGTAAAAAATAGTTTTTCCTTTCATACTGTGGAATATAACATCCTGTCATTGCAAAGGTTCTCTGCAACTGGGGAACGTGTACCTCTGGTGCTCTTGTGTGTATATAGCTATACGGTATATGTTGCAAAGGCAGTTCTTGTCAAGGCTTATAGATTATAGGGAAGGGGGGGCGGTTATCTTGAGATGATTTCGGGGCTTTAGTGTCCCCGCGGCCCGGTCCTCGACCAGGCCTCCACCCCCTAGAAGCAGCCCGTGACAGCTGACTAACACCCAGGTACCTATTTTACTGCTCGATAGCTGATTACTGCTCGGTTATAGTCCCCTCTCAGTTCCTTACAGTACTTTGCTGTATAAACTGTACTTGACCTTCTATACATCGACTAAGGTCGGCCGAGCGGACAGCACACTGGACTTGTGATCCTGTGGTCCTGGGTTCGATCCCAGGCGCCGGCGAGAAACAATGGGCAGAGTTTCTTTCACTCTATGCCCCTGTTACCTAGCAGTAAAATAGGTACCTGGATGTTAGTCAGCTGTCACGGGCTGCTTCCTGGTGTGTGTGTGTGTGTGTGTGGAAAAAATAGGTAGTAAACAGTTGATTGACAGTTGAGAGGCGGGCCGAAAGAGCAAAGCTCAACCCCCGCAAACACAACTAGATGAATACACACACACACACACACACACACACACACACACACACACACACACACACACACACACACACACACACACACACACACACGTCATTTATATAGAGACTTACAAACATAACAATACTCATACCAATTATTTAACACCTCATACACATTAACTATACAGAACTTGTAACGATATGTAACTGAAAGTTACATATGTACCATTAATAACAACTGACGTTCAAACTCTCGTCTAAATTATGAACTAGTTATAGACAACTAGTTCATAACAGCTGCTCTATTATGTATAGAGTTCCAAAGGTGTTCTATTATGGCGTGTTTCAAAGAAACTCCAGTGTGCATATTTAGCTTTTAAAAAAATTATAGTATGTTAGATTTGTTCTAGTGAGTCATCCAAAAAGCACCTTTGTAACGTACACAAACACACTACAGCACCTGTGGAACATACACACACACTAGAGCACCTTTGGAACATACACACACTACAGCACCTTTGGAACATACACACACACTACAGCACCTTTGGAACATACACACACACTACAGTACATTTGGAACATACACACACACTACAGCACCTTTGGAACATACACACACTACAGCACCTTTGAAACATACACACACACTACAGCAACTTTGGAACATACACACACACACTACAGCACCTTTGGAACACACACACACACTACAGCACATTTGGAATACACTAGTGTAAAGGGGGAAAGTGAATATTTTCAAGATCATCTTCCTAAATTGGCCCCCTAGTCTTAAACATCATTCTCCCTGCGTACCTTTGGCGAAGAAAATGAAAGCATTCTTCAAGAAAAAATTAAGCATATTTTTACTCTTGTTGAAACTCTTGTTGAAACTCTTGTTGCTGCTCTAACAATGAAATATTTCATGTGAGACTTTGAACTGACTTGTTACGAGAGCTGCCTATGTCTCACTACTTGCTTCAGAAAGTCTTATTCCTATAATCAGACTTTTTACAAAAGTTCATCATTAAAAATCAATGACTCGCATGAATATGTCGATGGAAATATCGTTAATTCTGTCATTGCGAAATTTTGTATTTTAAAAATATAGAATTTTTTGTATTTTTTCTGCTAATTTCTGCGTTAATTCAATCACTAAGCGCTCTGTTTCAACATTGATTCGTTTAGCTCTTAAGTCTCCTGTCTTGTCTCAAAGTCGAACTTAACTTCTCTTGTCTCACAGTCGAACTTAACTTCTCTTGTCTCAAAGTCGAACTTAACTTCTCTTGTCTCACAGTCGAACTTAACTTCTCTTGTCTCAAAGTTGAGCTGCTTTGTAAATCAGTCAATTGTACATAGAAATTATCGAAATAAATTTACCGCAGCCATTTCAATTTTAGTTCGTCTAATGTTAACTTACTTTATGTATCCTGAGGCGACTTGCAGGGGCCTAGACGTTGTAACTGCTGAAGTGTTCAGTGGTTGAATAAGAGATGCTCGTTTATTCTGCTTGAAAGGGTTGAACAGCTGCTTTCTAGTGGATTTCAAGATCTGTCATGTTTTTTTAAAGATTCTCCCTCCCTTCTACATGTTCTCCTTTCATGTTCTCTCTTTCTCATGTTCTCCCTTCATGTTCTCCCTCTCTCCACATTCTCTCTCGAAGTGGGATAACGTATAGAGTAACGTTGAAACAACTTTGAATCAACATAAATAACGTTGATTCAATGTAGATAACACTTAACAAATCTTGTGTCACATATCAGGCTTCATAGGAGTCATTGGTTGTTGCAATTGGGACCCCATCCTACTTAAGGGGGGACATGGGGTCTCGAGCTAAATCACCCATTGAAACTCCCTCTACAATCACAATTCGCTGTGGAGAGGTATATGAGACGTCTTGAGTCCAACCACATACAAAGAGACAGATACAAATTCCTCTTTTAGAGATATAGATGTGTGTGGGGGTTTACCGTATCAAGAGGCGGCACTGCATGCTATGTGCCACTTTAGGCACGAGTGCCATAGGTTAGCTGCCCCCTGAAATAGAGAAAACTTGCAACATATGCACACTAGAGCAACCCCTGAAACATATGCACACTAGAGCAACCCCTGAAACATATGCACACTAGAGCAACCCCTGAAACATATGCACACTAGAACAGCGTTTTTCAACATTTTTACACTTTAAAATAATTCCAGGTCGTACATCAGAGAAACACATAAGGATTTCATTAACAATTGAAAGACGATTTCTGCCTTTGCTCTTAATGATGGTTAAATGAACCAAACAAATCACTCAAAATACATGTGATTAGAATTAGCCTATTTAGAGAGCCGGTCGGCCGAGCGGACAGTACGCTGGACTTGTGATCCTGTGGTCCCGGGTTCGATCCCGGGCGCCGGCGAGAAACAATGGGCAGAGTTTCTTTCACCCTATGCCCCTGTTACCTAGCAGTAAATTAGGTACCTGGGTGTTAGTCAGCTGTCACGGGCTGCTTCCTGGCGGTGGAGGCCTGGTCGAGGACCGGGCCGCGGGGACACTAAAGCCCCGAAATCATCTCAAGATAACCTCAAGATGGGGTTCTTAACCTTGAGGTCCAGTGACCTCAGGCTAAGAACCCCTGCCCTGCAGCAACCTTGGAACATATACACACTAGAGGGAGCGTCGGGGGTGGACGTACCCCTGTGTGAGATGAATGAGTCACTGGCCTATTCACTTCATGAATTAGCCAGTGAGTCAATTAAGTTATAAAATCAATCAATTAATGGGTCAATTATTAAAATATCAACCCACTCAATTAACCTAAAACATCATGGAATACAAATATCCACTTGTCAGTTTGATTCATTGATAAACATTCAACAAATTGATAAATTAATTACTCAAAGAAGATGCCAATTATCCAATCAACTTGCCAGTGAATAGATCAATGATTAAATCAGTTTTATGAATTGCTTAATCATCCAATTAACTGTTCAATGAGTAGATCAATTATCTAATCAACCAACCCACCTTTCTCACCACAGTTCCGCCGGATATCATTGACCGCGAGTCGTCCGGTGACCTCACGATTCGAGAAGGTCAAGACGTGACCTTGACATGTCGTGCTAGAGGTCATCCGCCACCCACCATTATCTGGAGACGTGAGGACAACCAAGATATTCTTCCTGACCCCGGTCAACCAGGTCAGTGGAGTCCCCCTCCGTCAAGTAGCCCTCCGTCAAGTAGCCCTCCGTCAAGTAGCCCCTCCATCAAGTAGCCCCCTCCGTCAAGTAGCCCCTCCGTCAGGTAGACCCTCCGTCAAGTAGCCCCCTCCGTCAGGTAGCCCCCTCCGTCAGGTAGCCCCTCCGTCAAGTAGCCCCTCCGTCAAGTAGCCCCTCCGTCAAGTAGCCCCTCCGTCAAGTAGCCCCCTCCGTCAGGTAGCCCCTCCGTCAAGTAGCCCCTCCGTCGGGTAGACCCTCCGTCAAGTAGCCCCTCCGTCAAGTAGCCCCTCCGTCAGGTAGACCCTCCGTCAGGTAGCCCCTCCGTCAAGTAGCCCCTCCGTCAAGTAGCCCCCTCCGTCAAGTAGCCCCCTCCGTCAGGTAGCCCCTCCGTCAGGTAGACCCTCCGTCAAGTAGCCCCTCCGTCAAGTAGCCCCTCCGTCAGGTAGACCCTCCGTCAAGTAGCCCCTCCGTCAAGTAGCCCCTCCGTCAAGTAGCCCCCTCCGTCAGGTAGCCCCTCCGTCAAGTAGCCCCTCCGTCAAGTAGCCCCTCTGTAAAGTAGCCCCTCCGTCAAGTAGCCCCCTCCGTCAAGTAGCCCCCTCCGTCAAGTAGCCCCTCCGTCAGGAAGCCCCTCCGTCAAGTAGCCCCTCCGTCAAGTAGCCCCCTCCGTCAAGTAGCCCCTCCGTCAAGTAGCCACTCCGTCAGGTAGCCCCTCTGTCAAGTAGCCCCTCCGTCAAGTAGCCCCCTCCGTCAGGTAGCCCCTCCGTCAAGTAGCCCCTCCGTCAAGTAGCCCCTCCGTCAGGTAGACCCTCCATCAAGTAGCCCCCTCCGTCAAGTAGCCCCTCCGTCAAGTAGCCCCCTCCGTCAAGTAGCCCCCTCCGTCAGGTAGCCACTCCGTCAAGTAGCCCCTCCGTCAGGTAGCCCCTCCGTCAAGTAGCCCCTCCGTCAAGTAGCCCCTGCGTCAGGTAGCCACTCCGTCAGGTAGTCCCTCCGGCAAGTAGCCCCTCCGTCAAGTAGCCCCTCCGTCAAGTAGCCCCTCCGTCAAGTAGCCCCTCCGTCAAGTAGCCCCCTCCGTCTGGTAGCCCCTCCGTCAGCAGGTAGCCCCTCCGTCAGCAGGAAGCCCCTCCGTCAGGTAGCCCCTCCGTCAAGTAGCCCCTCCGTCAGGAAGCCCCTCCGTCAGGTAGTTGGTCATTTGAGACACTTAACTCGTTGTTCAAGCTAAGCAATTTGAGAGACCTGTTTGCATTTAAAACCAGGCAATTTCAGATGCAGAATTGGTCATTTAAGACCCATAATTGCTAGTTCAAGCCATGTATTTCAGGAAATATTATTGGTGGAAAGAAAGCTAGTAATTTTGAATGCTTAATTGATAGTTAAAATCAGAGTACTTGATATATTATATATATATATATATATATATATATATATATATATATATATATATATATATATATATATATATATATATATATATATATATATATATATATATATATATATATATATATATATATATATATATATATATATATATATATATATATATATATATATATATATATATATATATATATATATATATATATATATATATATATATTATATATATATAATTGTTATTAAATATTTAGTGACATTGACATGCTCAAGGGATCTTCCCTTCGTCCGAAGCTTCTACCTGGAATTTTCAAGCCTTTGTGACTAGGGAAACAGCTTCGCAAAGAGGTAAACATTCGAAGCGTTCACAGCTTATTGAAATGTTGCCTTCATTTTCCTGGAAGGAATTCTTAGACTTTTTTGGCGGGAAATGTTGAGCGTCGAGAGGATTGCCTCAGGGACCCTGTGTGTACCGTTAGCCTCCTTGGCTGATTCAGGGACCCCTGTGTGTACCGTTAGCCTCCTTGGCTGATTCAGGGACCCCTGTGTGTACCGTTAGCCTCCTTGGCTGATTCAGGGACCCCTGTGTGTACCGTTAGCCTCCTTGGCAGATTCAGGGACCCCTGTGTGTACTGTTAGCCTCCTTGGCTGATTCAGGGACCCTGTGTGTACCGTTAGCCTCCTTAGCTGATTCAGGGACCCTGTGTGTACCCATTGTGTATCCCCCCCTTGTGTATCCCCCCCTTGTGTGTACTAGTGTACCCTTTGCTTCCCTGGCTGACTTAAGATCCCATATACTCTCGTAGTGTCCTGGCTGCCCTCAGGACATCAATACATCTCACATGTCCCTGTCTGAGGGCCCCTATACATCCGTTATGTCCCTGGCTGCCTTCAGGGGCCCCCCTATATAACCACAGAGACTTCATTAAACATTTAGAGTTCTCCACGTAAAGGTTTAGAGTCAAGAGAGGCAGGCTCAGGACTTACGTGTCAGAGGTTAAACGTGAATGAACAGTCAACTCTTGTTAGCTGCTCCGGAGGAGGCAACGCGTACAATGACAATTGTTGAATCGCAACAATGCTCGTCTCCGTGCAGCATCTGGGGTGAAGCTGATACAATCCCTCGAGTGGGCGGTGAATGAGCAATGAAGTTTGGGAGGATTTTGGTTATTTTGTGTTGGGATTTAGGTCTGGAGCCGGGTATTGAATCCGCGGCTAGATTGTTTAAGGTTGTGTGTGTGTGTGTGTGTGTTCGTGTTACGTATCACGGTGTGTTCCTTCTGGTGTTAGCGTGGCTCAGGGAGCACCAGCAGGAGGTAAAGCAAGGGCTTGCTCCATGAGAGTTGTGTAAGAGAGCTTTGTCCCAGGCTACGTGTGTACTCACCTAATTGTGCTTGCGGGGGTTGAGCTCTGGCTCTTTGGTCCCGCCTCTCAACCGTCAATCAACTGGTGTACAGATTCCTGAGCCTATTGGGCTCTATCATATCTACATTTGAAACTGTGAATGGAGTCAGCCTCCACCACATCACTTCCTAATGCATTCCATTTGCTAACTACTCTGACACTGAAAAAGTTCTTTCTAACGTCTCTGTGGCTCATTTGGGTACTCAGCTTCCACCTGTGTCCCCTTGTTCGCGTCCCACCAGTGTTGAAAAGTTCATCCTTGTTTACCCGGTCGATTCCCCTGAGGATTTTGTAGATTGTGATCATGTCCCCCATTACTCTTCTGTCTTCCAGTGTCGTGAGGTGCATTTCCCGCAGCCTTTCCTCATAACTCATGCCTCTTAGTTCTGGGACTAGTCTAGTAGCATACCTTTGGACTTTTTCCAGCTTCGTCTTGTGCTTGACAAGGTACGGGCTCCATGCTGGGGCCGCATACTCCAGGATTGGTCTTACATATGTGGTGTACAAGACTCTGAATGATTCCTTACACAGGTTCCTGAACGCCGTTCTGATGTTAGCCAGCCTCGCATATGCCGCAGACGTTATTCTCTTTATGTGGGCTTCAGGAGACAGGTTTGGTGTGATATCAACTCCTAGATCTTTCTCTCTGTCTGTTTCATTAAGTACTTCATCTCCTATTCTGTATCCTGTGCCTGGCCTCCTGTTTCCACTGCCTAGTTTCATTACTTTGCATTTACTCGGGTTGAACTTCAACAGCCATTTGTTGGACCATTCACTCAGTCTATCCAGGTCATCTTGTAGCCTCCTACTATCATCCTCTGTTTCAATCCTCCTCATAATTTTTGCATCGTCGGCAAACATTGAGAGGAACGAATCTATACCCTCTGGGAGATCATTTACATATACCAGAAACAGTATAGGTCCAAGGACTGACCCCTGCGGGACTCCACTTGTGACGTCTCGCCAATCTGAGACCTCACCCCTCACACAGACTCGTTGTCTCCTGTTGCTTAGGTATTCCTCTATCCACCGGAGTACCTTCCCTCTCACTCCAGCCTGCATCTCCAACTTTCGCACTAGCCTCTTGTGTGGCACTGTATCAAAGGCTTTCTGACAATCCAAAAATATGCAGTCTGCCCACCCTTCTCTTTCTTGCCTTATTTTTGTTGCCTGGTCGTAGAATTCAAGTAACCCTGTGAGGCAGGACCTGCCATCCCTGAACCCATGTTGATGCTGTGTTACAAAGTTCCTTCGCTCCAGATGCTCCACTAGTTTTTTTCGCACAATCTTCTCCATCAGCTTGCATGGTATGCAGGTTAGGGACACTGGCCTGTAGTTCAGTGCCTCCTGTCTATCCCCCTTTCTTGTATATCGGGACTACGTTAGCTGCTTTCCAAATATCTGGCAGTTCCCCTGTTGCCAGTGATTTGTTATACACTATGGAGAGTGGTAGGCTCAGTTCTCTTGCTCCTTCCTTTAGAACCCAAGGGGAGATTCCATCTGGGCCTATAGCCTTCGTCACGTCCAACTCTAGTAAACACTTCCTTACTTCCCCACTGGTAATCTCAAACTCTTCCAGTGGTTCCTGGTTAGCTATGTGTGTGTGTGTGTGTGTGCGTGCTTGCGTGGGGCGTGTGTTTATGTGTCTGTGTACATTATATAGAATCACCTCTTCGAACTCTTCACATACGACCAGGGTTCGAATCTCCGTTGCCTGGGATCATCCTCCTGGCATACACAGTACTGAAACCACTTCACTAACGAACGTTGGTGAAGTGGTTAACGTGTACTCCGGCTCTGGTGACATGTTTTTGGGGGGTTTTGGGTTCTAAGAGCAGTATGAGCATAGATTCAGCTCTCGTATCAAATGAGGGCAACTTTAGAACTCTAATTTCATGATTGGGCGTAGTTGATTGGGCGTGGATTGGGTGTAGTTGCAGCCATCGTCAGAATTGGACGAGGTAACACCTCACCACCCACGTATGAGTGTAGTTGCATCTGAATCAATGCCTCATGCCCAATCTGCTTTAACTTGCAGGACGGGACGTGAGTGAAAGTGGCTCTTCAGGGCCTGACGCAAGTGCGTCAGGCCCAGCGGGGCACGACGTGGTGGGCATCGGCCGTGCCCACAGCCGCGACGTCTCAGGACACCCAAGACGAGGAGGGACGACGCGGGTCGTAGAGGGAGAGACGCTGGTGCTGAAGAAGGTGTCCAGACTCCAGATGGGGTCGTACCTCTGCATCGCTTCCAACGGCATCCCGCCCTCCATCAGCAAGAGAGCCCACCTCCGCGTCCAGTGTGAGTGGTGCGCCGCTAACTAACACGAAGTTAGTGCGTGACACTAACTTCGCGTTAGTGTGGCGAGTGGTTATGTCATGAGGGCTATGAACACCGGGGAAATGAGAAGAAATTAAGGAAATGAAAGATAGGGACAAGTTGACAGACATGAAAACAGACAGAAACATGGGAACCTTGAGACAGAAACAGAGACAGAGATATAAGGGTTAGTTAAGAAGGGAGGGAAGTGGAAGGAATAGACAAAGGAAATAGAAGAAGATGGATACGAATTGTCAGAATATCATCAGTAAATTTACGAAACCAATTCTCTCCATCTACTAACCATCATCCTCATCCTCATCCACTAACCACCATCCCCATCAACTCTGCCTTTACTTGACCCCTCATCTATCCCCCCCCCCGACACAGTCGCGCCGATGGCCTGGGTGCCACACCAGCTGGAAGGTGCCTACGTGGGCCAAGACCTGACCATTGAGTGCCAGACCGAGGCCTTCCCCCGGAGCATCAACTACTGGACTGACACCTCCGGGAACATGATCGTCGCAGGTGAGAAACATTCGTCTTATTTGTTGCAAGTTAGAACTAGATTTCTGGTGACAATGAGCAATGAGCTAAGAGTCAACATCAGCTGAGGCCTGGAATGTGTATATTTAACGTTAATTGTTATTTATTGTTAATTTTTCGTAATGAATTCAGTTTAATATTTCGATATGAATGTGTTAGATATAGTATGAACTGGCACCAGTGCCTTCGTGTGGTCGACTGGCACCAGTGCCTTCGTGTGGTCGACTGGCACCAGTGCCTTCGTGTGGTCGACTGGCGCCAGGGCCTTCGTGTGGTCGACTGGCACCAGTGCCTTCGTGTGGTCGACTGGCACCAGTGCCTTCGTGTGGTCGACTGGCGCCAGTGCCTTCGTGTGGTCGACTGGCACCAGGGCCTTCGTGTGGTCGACTGGCAACAGTGTCTTCGTGTGGTCGACTGGCACCAGTGCCTTCGTGTGGTCGACTGGCACCAGTGCCTTCGTGTGGTCGTATAGCATTATTTCCTTGCTCATCTACACATCGAAAGAACATGCTACAAATGCCAGACAGTTTAGGAGTGAATGATCCTTAAACTCAAGCTCCTGATGCTCCAGCTATGCTCCAGCTCTTGATGCTCCAGCTATGCTCAAGCTCTTGATGCTCCAGCTATGCTCAAGCTCTTGATGCTCCAGCTATGCTCTTATACTGTGCGAGTTCTTCTTGTTGACTTTAATGAGATGCGAGTTTGTTGTCGTATCTGGCCCCTGAGGTTGAAGATGGAGGTGGCTTCCATGGCTCCTCCTTCCTGTGTATGCCACTCTGAACCTCCGTACAGGGTTAAAGTACGTCCTTGTAGTTCTTTGTTATTTGCGTGTTCAGACTCCACCTATATTCGTCTCTGTTCCTCTTGTCCTCTAGGGCTCTGATGGCCCTTAACCAGTACTCTCACCATGACCAGTACCTGAGAACCCTTGACCACTTTGTGCAGTGGTCAAATATAAATACACAAGTGGGCTTCTAAATGGCAGGCGATGAGTCACAATAACGTGGCTGAAATATGTTGACCAGACCACACACTAGAAGGTGAAGAGATGACGTCGTTTCGGTCCGTCCTGGACCATTCTCAAGTCGATCATTCACAATCGACTTGAGATTGGTCCAGGACGGACCGAAACGTCGTCCCTTCACTTTCTAGTGTGTGGTTTGGTCAACGTCTTTTAAATTCTTACAAATTTCTGTACTTTATATCAAAATCAGTTTCTCCTTTAGGTGATGCCTTTCCAGGCCGGTGCTGCATATCAGGTGTTGGTCTGACATACGCTGCGTGGACAGCGTCCTTATAGAGTCATTTTTTTATGGTTTGAAATGGCATTGTGATGTCTGCCGGCTGCCCGTATGTAACCCATGTTATCCTGTTAATTACACACAGAAATCACAATAGCGTGATGCATCAAATGAACAAATCCACAAGGGCCGTGACGAGGATTCGAACTTACGTCCGAGAGCATCCCAGACACTGTCTTAATCGACTGAGCTACGACGTGGTAAAAGAGTTGAAACCGAAGTTCTACTGAACTTACTGGACGTAGGTTGCTGGGATGCTCCCGGACGTAGGTTCGAATCCTCATCACGGCCCTTGTGGATTTGTTTATCCTGTTAATATCCCTGGGTATTGGCGCTGGAGCCAAATCCTCTCCAGTATGTTGTAATCCGTCCGATGACCGGTTGCCTTCGGCTTACATGTGTTCAACCTCCTGTTTCCCTTAACCACAGTTATTACCTTGCTCGTATTGGGGGTTGAACTCTAACAGCCATTTATCTGCTTATCCCAAAGTGTTAGAATTGTCAATAAGGGCAAGAAATTATCAACAAAATTAATAAAGTAAACTCGATGCACAATATTGAATGCAAATATGAAGCAATAAATGTGTGACTTGAGTCATTGCTTTGACTAAGAATGGTCTTAAGGCTATAATAAAATCCGATGGTCGATCGTGCAAGCACATTTAGGAGAGTACAGGTAGGAAAGTACAGCTTTCCTTAGTGGGAGAGCGTGGATTACTCTGTAATCTAAGAGATTACAGAGTAATCTAAGCGTACATCTATATGATAACACATGGGGGGGGGGCAAGATAGCATATATGAGTGTGATGTATTACAGTCAAACGTAGCACTACTGAGCCTTAGTAGTTATACAGTACATACAATACTTAATACAGTTAAACATACAGTACATACAATACTTAATACAGTTAAACATACAGTACATACAATACAATGCATCATACACAGCACCAACATGATTTCAGGAACTACAAATCATGGTTCATTAACATGACAGAACCGGTCGACCAAGAGGAGAGACGGGTGTGTGTATACTGTCTATGGACAGTCACAGGCTGGGGTGACGGGAGGGGAAGATGTTCCTTAAATAAGTAACAAATCGACAGAAGACACAAAGTTACGTATCTTAGCAGTTGTGTCCCACAGGAGACGTCTCCAAAGATGTTTTGCTTCTGATCATGTCGATGATCAACTAGATTGTAGACTAAACCACACACTAGAAGGTGAAGGGACGACGACGTTTCGGTCCGTCCTGGGACCATTATCAAGTCGATTACGAGTGGGCGATTATGTACACACAATCGACTTCATAATAGTCCAGGACGGACCGAAACGTCATCGTCCCTTCACCTTCTAGTATATGTTCTGGTTAACATATCTTCAGCCACGTTATTGTGACTCTTCGTCTGCATTAACTAGATTCTAGAGAGCATAGACACCTTCCTCATTATTTTCCAATAATACACATATTATTAGAAGGTTCAGAATGGTGGCAAACGCAAAACATTATAATAAATACATAATAAATAAATAAATAAATAAATAATTGTTTATTCAGGTAAGGTACATACATACAAGGTAAGATAGAAAAGATGATGGATTTATAGATAGAGCTAGTACATATAATGCCTAAAGCCACTATTACGCAAAGTGTTTCGGGCAGGTCATACAGGTCATACGGGGCATTAGTGGATGACCTCGACAGAATCAAAAAATTGTCCAACAAGTGGCTACCAGAGTTTAACTCAAACAAGTGCAGACTAATGTCACGAATGCCAAGAGTGCATGCCACTGAGTGACAATTGTACTCTGTCAGCAGTAGGCGCTAAGGTCAAGAGTTCAGGTCAAGACTTCAGGTCACTGGTTGACCAGCACCCTACCAATGTCCCTGCTCAACTGCTCTCATTGTTTTATGCAAGGAAAAAAAAGGTCAAAAAGAAATAGAAAAAGAAAATAACACGGAAAACAGTTTAGGGTAAACACAGACACATGAACCAGCTCAAATTTTGTATAAAAATTAAAGTATCTAAGTTCAACATTATGTACAGTCAGTGGTCAGAAGCAAAATATACTGAGAGCAAATTCGTGCTCGGATAAACCTATAAATAGTAAGCTTCAAAAGGCTCTAAATAGTATCATTGGAGCTCTTGGTGGCATGGTTATAGCTCTATGGTTATAGCTGTAAATGACTGGAAATCTAAATGGCATGGTTTGATCTGATAAATAATATGGTTTGAGCTCTGAATGGTTCAGTTCTAGATCTGAATGGTATGGTTGGTTATCTGAATAGTAAGGTTCAAGATCTTAATGGTATGTTGGTGATCTGAATGGCAAGAGTTGCGAATTGTTTGATTGAAACTTTGAATGACATGATTTGACATCTGAATTGTTTGAGCTCTGAATTGCGTGGTATGATTGGAACTCTGTAAACTAAGAATTAATGGTATTGAGGCCTGGATATGTTGGCTCCGTTGTTAGAGTGACCCGTTACCATGATGTAGTAACGGTACCGCCCCCCCCCCTTAGTCCTAAGAGGTGAGAACCCTGAATGGTAGAAGATTTGAGAGTTTGTGAATGATGTTTGTGGGAGAGCACTTTATTCCTCCACCAAGTAAACTCTTAGACCCATGCCATGAGTAGATAATCTACCTACTCATACCTGTACACTCATCTTAACTCACCATGTTAACAAGAATCAACTAATAATCAACACAACACTAGTTAATGAATTGGCACAGAACTACCCTATTACACACAGAGATCACACTAACGTGATGCATCAAATGAACAAATCCACAAGGGCCGTGACGAGGATTCGAACCTGCGTCCGGGAGCATCCCAGACACTGCCTTAATCGACTGAACTACGACAGGGTAGTACCCTGTAGTTTTATTACTACGACATGGTAGTACCCTGTCGTAGCTCAGTCGTTGTACCCTGTCGTAGCTCAGTCGATTAAGGCAGTGTCTGGGATGCTCCCGGACGCAGGTTCGAATCCTCGTCACGGCCCTTGTGGATTTGTTCATCTGGCACAGAACCTTTATTATGGCAAGATCTTAACACATGGTGCAAACTGGAGGGCCCAAGTTACACCCTGTGTTCTGTATCACATCATGTTTTCAATGGGTATTGCGTGTGTCAGTTACACCCTGTGTGTGTCAGACAATCCTGGAGCAATACAATGGGATCCAACACACGTCCCCAAACTCCCTGGACACACGCAATACCCCACTGAACCACGATGTGATACAGTTTTTCACAGATTCGACACGTTCGTAGCCTTTTATTACGCAAACAACTTTGTTCTGTCAACTAATAGGTCGTGTATTATACGTTAACGACACCAACGTTGTTGGAGTGCCAAACGGAGTGCCAAGAGTGCCAACAATAGGCTGATGTCTCAACGTCAAATCTTAAATCTCAAATTCTCAAAAATCCAAATCTTAATATTTAATTTTAAATATAAAGATCTAGTAGTTCTTGATTGGGATGAGTTTATATTAGTAATTTCTTATTAGGATAGTTCTCCACTTCTGTATTGCTGTAGTTCTGAGTAGCTGTGGTTCTGAGTAGCTGTGGTTCTGAGTAGCTGTAGTTATGAGTAGCTGTAGTTCTGAGTAGCTGTAGTTCTGAGTAGCTGTAGTTCTGAGTAGCTGTAGTTCTGAGTAGCTGTAGTTCTGTATAGCTGTAGTTCTGTATTGCTGTAGTTCTGAGTAGCTGTAGTTCTGAGTAGCTGTAGTTTTGAGTAGCTGTAGTTCTGAGTAGCTGTAGTTCTGTATTGCTGTAGTTCTGTATTGCTGTAGTTCTGAGTAGCTGTAGTTCTGAGTAGCTGTAGTTCTGTATAGCTGTAGTTCTGTATTGCTGTAGTTCTGTATTGCTGTAGTTCTGAGTAGCTGTAGTTCTAAGTAGCTGTAGTTCTGAGTAGCTGTAGTTCTGAGTAGCTGTAGTTCTGAGTAGCTGTAGTTCTGAGTAGCTGTAGTTCTGAGTAGCTGTAGTTCTGAGTCGCTGTAGCTCTGAGTAGCTGTAGTTCTGAGTCGCTGTGGTTCTGAGTAGCTGTAGTTATTAGTAGCTGTAGTTCTGAGTAGCTGTAGTTCTGAGTAGCTGTAGTTATTAGTAGCTGTAGTTCTGATTTGTGTGTTTTGAATGGTGGGTGTTCTGATTGATGGAGGCTCTGAATGGCTGGAGCTCTGAATGGCTGGAGCTCTGAATGGCGAGAGCTCTGAATGGCAGGAGCTCTGAATGGCTGGAGCTCTGAATGGCAGCTCTGAATGGCAGGAGCTCTGAATGGCTGGAGCTCTGAATGGCTGGAGCTCTGAATGGCAGGAGCTCTGAATGGCTGGAGCTCTGAATGGCTGGAGCTCTGAATGGCAGGAGCTCTGAATGGCTGGAGCTCTGAATGGCTGGAGCTCTGAATGGCGAGAGCTCTGAATGGCAGGAGCTCTGAATGGCTGGAGCTCTGAATGGCTGGAGCTCTGAATGGCAGGAGCTCTGAATGGCTGGAGCTCTGAATGGCTGGAGCTCTGAATGACGGGAGCTCTGAATGGCAGGAGCTCTGAATGGCAGGAGCTCTGAATGGCAGGAGCTCTGAATGACTGGAGCTCTGAATGGCTGGAGCTCTGAATGGCAGGAGCTCTGAATGACGGGAGCTCTGAATGGCAGGAGCTCTGAATGGCAGCTCTGAATGACGGAAGCTCTGAATGACGGGAGCTCTGAATGGCAGGAGCTCTGAATGGCAGGAGCTCTGAATGACGGAAGCTCTGAATGACGGGAGCTCTGAATGGCAGGAGCTCTGAATGGCAGGAGCTCTGAATGGCAGGAGCTCTGAATGACGGGAGCTCTGAATGGCAGGAGCTCTGAATGGCAGGAGCTCTGAATGACGGGAGCTCTGAATGGCAGGAGCTCTGAATGACGGGAGCTCTGAATGGCAGGAGCTCTGAATGACGGGAGCTCTGTAGTATAATATTTCTGTAAAAAAAAATTGTGTTCTGTATTTAATCATTTTGTGTGAGTGAAGCCCCTGAGGACATATATTTAACAAATAAACATGAAATATTAAACATATGCTTCATACGTGATTATTTTCCGCTTTATTCATTATTTGGGATTTTAATATACACAAACATACATTTATATATATATATACACACTCTATACACATACCTATAAAGTATATATTAATATATGTATACATTTTCTAAGAGAGATTCTTGTGTATGAACCTCCCAGGTGAGAGATTCGAACCAGTGTTGGCAGAGACGTTCTATAAACTATATATGAGGCTGAGAATACGAGGGGTGACCCGACAGGACTTCGGCACCTTCAGATGTGTGGCCAAGAACTCCCTCGGGGAGACTGATGGAGCCATCAGGATCTACGGTAAGACGGAGAGAGGGAGAGGGAGAGAGAGAGAGAGGGAGAGGGAGAGGGAGAGGGAGGGAGGGATAGCTACGTGTGTACCAGTGATAGTCAGGATACTACATACACACACTCCATCGCTATCCTACCTATTCACCATACTAACTACATTCTGCTAGGGACTTTCGACAAGCCGTTGGCTTCCTGTCCTGTTTGGCTGTCCTAGGACCCGTTGGTTGTCCCAGGTTACCCGCTAGGGGTGTCCTGCACTCTAGAGAATACAGATTTAGACATTTTAGTCGGTCCTAGTAGTTTAGATTTTTTACTGAGTGGGTTCTAGCAGTAAAGGATCTCTGCACGCTCTCCAGGTCAGCAATTTCTCCAGCTCTGAAAGGGGCTGTCATTGTGCAGCAGTACTCCACTCTAGAGAGCACTAGCTGATGCTGTAATTTCCTGCCCAACAGGTTTAATTTGACACGACCAGTAATGTGGCAGAATTCATATTGATCCTCTGCTGTTGCTCTGAACTTTTTCTATCGTTGATAACTACTGTAATTGGTCATATTGAACTGGTGGTCTTGCACACAGATATGATCAAGATCATTTTTAGATATCTGTAAACTTAATTTCCTCTTCCCATGGGCCTAAACCCATCTTGAGGTGATTTCGGGGCTTTAGTGTACCCGCGGTGCGGTCCTCGACCAGGCCTCCACCCCCAGGAAGCAGCTCGTGACAGCTGACTAACACCCAGGTACCTATTTTACTGCTAGGTAACAGGGGCATAGAGTGAAAGAAACTCTGCCCATTGTTTCTCGTCGGCGCCTGGGATCGAACCCAGGACCACAGGATCACAAGTGCAGCGTGCTGTCCGCTCGGCCGACCGGCTCCCGTCTCGCCATTACCCTCATCTCTATATACGATCTTCATGAATGTGTTTGCTGCCTTCTCACCTCTAATATTCTCTGGTCTTGCTCGAGACTAACTTGACCAGACCACACACTAGAAGGTGAAGGGACGACGACGTTTCGGTCCGTCCTGGACCATTCTCAAGTCGATTGAGAATGGTCCAGGACGGACCGAAACGTCGTCGTCCCTTCACCTTCTAGTGTGTGGTCTGGTCAATTAGACCTGTATTTCTGTTCTACCTCTGGTTCCTACTCCCTCAGGCATATATATTTGTTTATATATTTATATTTTTGTGATTATATAATGTATGCCTATATGAATATGTATGAATGTATGTATATACATCAATTTAATACTTGTCAACATTGCCGCCCACAGAGATAGAGCCGCCCAAGTCTCAGGTGAACGAAGGGCTCTCAGAAGCTGGGGAGGGGGAGGAGGAGACGTCTGGGGAGTTGGGGACAACCACCCCCACCACCATCATCAAGAAAGGTAAGCCTCCCTATCTCTCTCATCCTGCCTCTCCCACCCTACCTCTCTCACCCTACCTCTCTCACCCTACCTCTCTCACCCTACCTCTCACCCTGCCTCTCTCACCCTACCTCTCACCCTGCCTCTCTCACCCTACCTCTCACCCTGCCTCTCTCACCCTACCTCTCACCCTGCCTCACACACACGGACTTGGTGCTACATAGCCTTCCCAGCTTGGTGCCTTCTTTGGTAATTCCTTACCACACACACGCTAGGTGACACTTTCTTACTGACTCTTAAGAGTTCATTAGGAATGGTGCTGATGTTTATAATCTATGTTATCATATATCCTAAGAGGCCTGGAAGAACTATAACCTCTTGTTGACCAGACCACACACTAGAAGGTCAAGGGACGACGACGTTTCGGTCCGTCCTGGACCATTCTCAAGTCGATTTGAGAATGGTCCAGGACGGACCGAAACGTCGTCGTCCCTTGACCTTCTAGTGTGTGGGTCAACATGTTTTAGCCACGTTATTGTGACTCATCGTCTGCAACTCTAACCTCTCTGTCTCTCTCTCTCTCTCTCTCTCTCTGTCTCTCTCTCTCCCTCTCTCTGTCTCTCTCTCTCTCTCTCTCTCTCTCTCTCTCTCTCTCTCTCTCTCTCTCTCTCTCTCTCTCTCTCTCTCTCTCTCTCTCTCTCTGTCTGTCTGTCTGTCTCTCTCTCTCTCTCTCTCTCTCTCTCTCTCTCTCTCTCTCTCTCTCTCTCTCTCTCTCTCTCTCTCTCTCTCTCTCTCTCTCTCTCTCTCTCTGTCTCTCTCTCTCTCTCTCTCTCTCTCTCTCTCTCTCTCTCTCTCTCTCTCTCTCTCTCTCTCTCTCGTTTAAACTTAGGTTCATTAGTAGCGTTCCTGATAATTTTAATAAATCTTCAAGCTAAGAGTTATCTTCATCAACTCATCTGAATCCTGACCCCTAGAAACTCATTTAGATAACAAACCAAATTTCACATATGATTAATTTATTAAATTTCATGTTTATCAACGTGTTGAAAGAACACGTTCTAGATGTGCGGCAATTAAGGAATTTATGATTACTTCAGGAATTATGATCCTGAGAATAGCACAGCCAGCACAGGTGGCTAAGCTCCTGTTATGGTTGTCCACGAGGTTTGGCCAGGTGCGATACTTTGTAAACATTGCCCGATACATGGTCAAAGTGGTTGGGGCAGCGCCCCCCCCCCCCTCCTCGTATCCCAGGTCTCAGTCCTTAGACTGTCTCCGTGTTCGATATTGTCACACTGGCCTGGTTTATGTAACAGTAAGTACTTGCACCCGTCAATTTCCTGTTCAACCTTTCACCTTCATCAAGTTCCACGCGGCGTACCACACTGTCAAGTTCCAAGCGCCGTACCACACTGTCAAGTTCCACGCGGTGTACCACACTGTCAAGTTCCACGCGGTGTACCACACTGTCAAGTTCCACGTGGTGTACCACACTGTCAAGTTCCACGTGGTGTACCACACTGTCAAGTTCCACGCGGCGTACCACACTGTCAAGTTCCACGCGGTGTACCACACTGTCAAGTTCCACGCGGTGTACCACACTGTCAAGTTCCACGCGGTGTACCACACTGTCAAGTTCCACGCGGTGTACCACACTGTCAAGTTCCACGCGGTGTACCACACTGTCAAGTTCCACGCGGTGTACCACACTGTCAAGTTCCACGCGGTGTACCACACTGTCAAGTTCCACGCGGTGTACCACACTGTCAAGTTCCACGCGGTGTACCACACTGTCAAGTTCCACGCGGTGTACCACACTGTCAAGTTCCACGCGGTGTACCACACTGTCAAGTTCCACGCGGTGTACCACACTGTCAAGTTCCACGCCGGGAATAACGTTACCAAGTTACACTACGGAAGGGCTACAGGCCGTGGTGGGGGCGGCGTTATTAGACATGCCTGTGATGGCGTTCATCCTGGCAGGAGTGTCCTCGTTATTGAATAGTACCGGAGCGGCTCCCGCCACCGCTCCCCGCCACAGCCGCCGCCACAGCCGCCACAGCCGCTACAGCCGCCACAGCCGCTACCATAGCCGCCACCACAGCCGCCGCCATCGCCGCTACCACAGCCACCACAGCCCCCACAGCCGCCACCACAGCCGCCACCACAGCCGCCACGGTATAGCCAGCGTCAGGATCTTGACACACACGGAACAAGCAGTCAGGCGCTGCTGATACTTACGTGACACTCACCATGTGTTAGAGATTCAGCTTCTAGGAGCAAACAGTTCCAAGTAGCACGGGCTATGGTGAGCCCGTAGTGGACTTACCTGGCACAGGAGCGGGGCAAGTAGCACGGGCTATGGTGAGCCCGTAGTGGACTTACCTGGCACAGGAGCGGGGCAAGTAGCACGGGCTATGGTGAGCCCGTAGTGGACTTACCTGGCACAGGAGCGGGGCAAGTAGCACGGGCTATGGTGAGCCCGTAGTGGACTTACCTGGCACAGGAGCGAGGCAAGTAGCACGGGCTATGGTGAGCCCGTAGTGGACTTACCTGGCACAGGAGCGGGGCAAGTAGCACGGGCTATCGTGAACCCGTAGTGGACTTACCTGGCACAGGAGCGGGGGACACTCGCCAGAAAATAGTCGATCATAGGGGATACTCTGTCTCTCTCGCTTCACCCCATTCCACCCCTCTTCTTTTCCCCCTCTTCTCCTCTCCCCTCTCTCTCTCCCTCTTCTCTCCCCTCTCACCCCAATATCCCAACCCTCTCTCCTCTCCCCTCTCCAGTCTCGAGCAGACATTTCCATTTACTTATATAAAGTAAATCATGAACATTCGCGGGTATTTTATATTTATTATTAACACATTTATGTCCTTTAGTGAAGCTGCCCTAGACTATATGAAGGGGAGTACAGTGTGTGTCAAGAACTAGCTGCCCTAGACTATATGAAGGGGAGTACAGTGTGTGTCAAGAACTAGTTGCCCTAGACTATATGAAGGGGAGTACAGTGTGTGTCAAGAACTAGCTGCCCTAGACTATATGAAGGGGAGTACAGTGTGTGTCAAGAACTAGCTGCCCTAGACTATATGAAGGGGAGTACAGTGTGTGTCAAGAACTAGCTGCCCTAGACTATATGAAGGGGAGTACAGAGTGTGTCAAGAACTAGCTGCCCTAGACTATATGATGGGGAGTACAGTGTGTGTCAAGAACTAGCTGCCCTAGACTATATGAAGGGGAGTACAGAGTGTGTCAAGAACTAGCTGCCCTAGACTATATGAAGGGGAGTACAGTGTGTGTCAAGAACTAGCTGCCCTAGACTATATGATGGGGAGTACAGTGTGTGTCAAGAACTAGCTGCCCTAGACTATATGATGGGGAGTACAGAGTGTGTCAAGAACTAGCTGCCCTAGACTATATGAAGGGGAGTACAGAGTGTGTCAAGAACTAGCTGCCCTAGACTATATGAAGGGGAGTACAGTGCGTGTCAAGAACTAGCTGCCCTAGACTATATGAAGGGGAGTACAGTGCGTGTCAAGAACTAGCTGCCCTAGACTATATGAAGGGGAGTACAGTGTGTGTCAAGAACTAGCTGCCCTAGGCTATATGAAGGGGAGTACAGTGTGTGTCAAGAACTAGCTGCCCTAGACTATATGAAGGGGAGTACAGTGCGTGTCAAGAACTAGCTGCCCTAGACTATATGAAGGGGAGTACAGTGTGTGTCAGGAACTAGCTGCCCTAGACTATATGAAGGGGAGTACAGTGTGTGTCAAGAACTAGCTGCCCTAGACTATATGATGGGGAGTACAGTGTGTGTCAAGAACTAGCTGCCCTAGACTATATGAAGGGGAGTACAGTGTGTGTCAAGAACTAGCTGCCCTAGACTATATGATGGGGAGTACAGTGTGTGTCAAGAACTAGCTGCCCTAGACTATATGAAGGGGAGTACAGTGTGTGTCAAGAACTAGCTGCCCTAGACTATATGATGGGGAGTACAGTGTGTGTCAAGAACTAGCTGCCCTAGACTATATGAGAGGGAGTACAGTGTGTGTCAAGAACTAGCTGCCCTAGACTATATGAAGGGGAGTACAGTGTGTGTCAAGAACTAGCTGCCCTAGACTATATGAGAGGGAGTACAGAGTGTGTCAAGAACTAGCTGCCCTAGACTATATGAAGGGGAGTACAGTGTGTGTCAAGAACTAGCTGCCCTAGACTATATGAGAGGGAGTACAGTGTGTGTCAAGAACTAGCTGCCCTAGACTATATGATGGGGAGTACAGTGTGTGTCAAGAACTAGCTGCCCTAGACTATATGAGAGGGAGTACAGTGTGTGTCAAGAACTAGCTGCCCTAGGCTATATGAGAGGGAGTACAGTGTGTGTCAAGAACTAGCTGCCCTAGACTATATGAGAGGGAGTACAGTGTGTGTCAAGAACTAGCTGCCCTAGACTATATGAAGGGGAGTACAGAGTGTGTCAAGAACTAGTTGCCCTAGACTATATGAAGGGGAGTACAGTGTGTGTCAAGAACTAGCTGCCCTAGACTATATGAAGGGGAGTACAGTGTGTGTCAAGAACTAGCTGCCCTAGACTATATGAAGGGGAGTACAGTGTGTGTCAAGAACTAGCTGCCCTAGACTATATGAAGGGGAGTACAGTGTGTGTCAAGAACTAGCTGCCCTAGACTATATGAAGGGGAGTACAGTGTGTGTCAAGAACTAGCTGCCCTAGACTATATGAAGGGGAGTACAGTGTGTGTCAAGAACTAGCTGCCCTAGACTATATGAAGGGGAGTACAGTGTGTGTCAAGAACTAGCTGCCCTAGACTATATGAAGGGGAGTACAGTGTGTGTCAAGAACTAGCTGCCCTAGACTATATGAAGGGGAGTACAGTGTGTGTCAAGAACTAGCTGCCCTAGACTATATGAAGGGGAGTACAGTGTGTGTCAAGAACTAGCTGCCCTAGACTATATGAAGGGGAGTACAGAGTGTGTCAAGAACTAGCTGCCCTAGACTATATGAAGGGGAGTACAGTGTGTGTCAAGAACTAGCTGCCCTAGACTATATGAAGGGGAGTACAGTGTGTGTCAAGAACTAGCTGCCCTAGACTATATGAAGGGGAGTACAGTGTGTGTCAAGAACTAGCTGCCCTAGACTATATGAAGGGGAGTACAGTGTGTGTCAAGAACTAGCTGCCCTAGACTATATGAAGGGGAGTACAGTGTGTGTCAAGAACTAGCTGCCCTAGACTATATGAAGGGGAGTACAGTGTGTGTCAAGAACTAGCTGCCCTAGACTATATGAAGGGGAGTACAGTGTGTGTCAAGAACTAGCTGCCCTAGACTATATGAAGGGGAGTACAGTGTGTGTCAAGAACTAGCTGCCCTAGACTATATGAAGGGGAGTACAGTGTGTGTCAAGAACTAGCTGCCCTAGACTATATGAAGGGGAGTACAGTGTGTGTCAAGAACTAGCTGCCCTAGACTATATGAAGGGGAGTACAGTGTGTGTCAAGAACTAGCTGCCCTAGACTATATGAAGGGGAGTACAGTGTGTGTCAAGAACTAGCTGCCCTAGACTATATGAAGGGGAGTACAGTGTGTGTCAAGAACTAGCTGCCCTAGACTATATGAAGGGGAGTACAGTGTGTGTCAAGAACTAGCTGCCCTAGACTATATGAAGGGGAGTACAGTGTGTGTCAAGAACTAGCTGCCCTAGACTATATGAAGGGAAGTACAGTGTGTGTCAAGAACTAGCTGCCCTAGACTATATGAAGGGGAGTACAGTGTGTGTCAAGAACTAGCTGCCCTAGACTATATGAAGGGGAGTACAGTGTGTGTCAAGAACTAGCTGCCCTAGACTATATGAAGGGGAGTACAGTGTGTGTCAAGAACTAGCTGCCCTAGACTATATGAAGGGGAGTACAGTGTGTGTCAAGAACTAGCTGCCCTAGACTATATGAAGGGGAGTACAGTGTGTGTCAAGAACTAGCTGCCCTAGACTATATGAAGGGGAGTACAGTGTGTGTCAAGAACTAGCTGCCCTAGACTATATGAAGGGGAGTACAGTGTGTGTCAAGAACTAGCTGCCCTAGACTATATGAAGGGGAGTACAGTGTGTGTCAAGAACTAGCTGCCCTAGACTATATGAAGGGGAGTACAGTGTGTGTCAAGAACTAGCTGCCCTAGACTATATGAAGGGGAGTACAGTGTGTGTCAAGAACTAGCTGCCCTAGACTATATGAAGGGGAGTACAGTGTGTGTCAAGAACTAGCTGCCCTAGACTATATGAAGGGGAGTACAGTGTGTGTCAAGAACTAGCTGCCCTAGGCTATATGAAGGGGAGTACAGTGCGTGTCAAGAACTAGCTGCCCTAGGCTATATGAAGGGGAGTACAGTGTGTGTCAAGAACTAGCTGCCCTAGGCTATATGAAGGGGAGTACAGTGCGTGTCAAGAACTAGCTGCCCTAGACTATATGAAGGGGAGTACAGTGCGTGTCAAGAACTAGCTGCCCTAGGCTATATGAAGGGGAGTACAGTGTGTGTCAAGAACTAGCTGCCCTAGGCTATATGAAGGGGAGTACAGTGCGTGTCAAGAACTAGCTGCCCTAGACTATATGAAGGGGAGTACAGTGCGTGTCAAGAACTAGCTGCCCTAGACTATATGAAGGGGAGTACAGTGCGTGTCAAGAACTAGCTGCCCTAGGCTATATGAAGGGGAGTACAGAGTGTGTCAAGAACTAGCTGCCCTAGACTATATGAAGGGGAGTACAGTGTGTGTCAAGAACTAGCTGCCCTAGGCTATATGAAGGGGAGTACAGTGCGTGTCAAGAACTAGCTGCCCTAGGCTATATGAAGGGGAGTACAGAGTGTGTCAAGAACTAGCTGCCCTAGACTATATGAAGGGGAGTACAGTGTGTGTCAAGAACTAGCTGCCCTAGGCTATATGAAGGGGAGTACAGTGTGTGTCAAGAACTAGCTGCCTTAGACTATATGAAGGGGAGTACAGTGTGTGTCAAGAACTAGCTGCCCTAGAATATATGAAAGGGAAGTACAGTGTGTGTCAAGAACTAGCTGCCCTAGACTATATGAAAGGGAAGTACAGTGTGTGTCAAGAACTAGCTACGTGATGCTAAAAATCCCCATCACACAGGATGGTTAGTCATACAGGGCCATGTGATCAGTAGCCAGCACTGGCCAATTAAGAAGCATTATGAGGATATCATCAAGAACACGAGAGGTAATAAGGAAGCAGTGATACTAAAAGTCCCCATCTCGCAAGATAAGTCAGTGGCTGGAGTACCTGCAACTCTACGGACAACACGCGCCAGATTTAACTTCTGATTTCATGAAAATAATCACATGGGTTGCTTGGGTTAAAAGCTATATTTCTTAAAAGAATTTAACTTAGGTTTACCCCGACCAGCTTCTGTTCGTACCCCAGACCATTTCCGCTGTACCGTAGACCATTTCCGTTGTACCGTAGACCATTTCCGTTGCAAATTTGGCTGAGACTTCGAGCGTCTAATCCTCCAATTTTGCAGTCAAACAATCTCTCGTATTGGTGCAAATCTGTGTTACACTATTGCAGTGAATCACTTCTTGTACTGCAGTTCACTGTGCTTTCGCAGAAAATTCAGGTTTGCAAGGGTGAAGGAAGCAGTTTAGTGTGCATGTGCTGCTTGTGGGGGTCCATGGGAGCTTGTACAACAACATGGTTTGGTTTGGTTTAGAGAATGACATCAGTTATGATACTAAATGAAAGAATAATTGCGATGGGAAGATTTTAATGGCAAAGTTAGAACAAGTGAAAATGACAATGATTGGCATAAAATATATTCAAAGTAAAATTTACAATAGCTATTCAACGAAAGAGTTATGTATAACAGATACGAATTTTATATAACAGGTTATACATAAGCATACACGGTACACGTTAAATGGTGTGTATACGATAAGAATTAGCTGTAAATGTGATCGACTTGGGTCGAAGTCGAAATGATTGACTTGAGAATGGTCCAGGACGGACCGAAACGTCGTCGTCCCTTCACCTTCTAGTGAGTGGTCTGGTCAACATAGCAGTAAATGGGTAATGGGACCTCACAGGGACCCGAGGAGTGAGAAAATAAGTGCTGAGACGATGAGAGAAATACAGCTGGTTGAGGAAGATGATACGAAACATTTGATAGTCAACTTGGAGCCATAGGCCTGGTCGACGACCGGGCCGCGGGGACACTAAGCCCCGGAAGCACCTCAAGGTAAGGTATGGACAATTCCCAAGTGAATCTCAGCTATACGTGGAATGCATGCATGAAATATTTGGTTGCTGTGATCAAGCAGGAACTTGCCTAATTTACCTAATTGTGCTTGCGGGGGTTGAGCTCTGGCTCTTTGGTCCCGCCTCTCAACCGTCAATCAACAGGTGTGTGCGGACTGGCGCACACGGGTTCACGAATGAGGGGAACTGCCCGGTGGGCAGAAGAACACAAGTGGTAATATGAAGCAAAACTAATTTTATGGAGACAGTGAGCGACTGTGGGAAAAATGACACTAAATGCAAATTGTGAATGAAATAAGAAATAAACTTTTTCTCGTGGATAGTTGTCATACAAACTGAACCTTGACATCCTCTTCACACACTGCTGGTGCTTGCCTACCCTTGAGGTCGAGTCCCTTTTTTAAGGGATATTCCTGCGCGGGCCCTAAGCCTCTGGCTGGCCCACCGGGCGAGCCCTAAGCCTCTGGCTGGCCCACTGGGCGAGCCCTAAGCCTCTGGCTGGCCCACTGGGCGAGCCCTAAGCCTCTGGCTGGCCCACTGGGCGGGCCCTAAGCCTCTGGCTGGCCCACTGGGCAAGCCCTAAGCCTCTGGCTGGCCCACTGGGCGAGCCCTAAGCCTCTGGCTGGCCCACTGGGCGAGCCCTAAGCCTCTGGCTGGCCCACTGGGCGGGCCCTAAGCCTCTGGCTGGCTCACTGGGCGGGCCCTAAGCCTCTGGCTGGCCCACTAAGTGTTGCTCATTCAGTTTCACTCAGGCGCTGGATGATTATCTATGCCTGGTATGTTGGCTGCAATAAGATTATGTCGTAGGTGTTTAACAACTTCCTCTGCTCAGTTAATTATCAGGTGGAAGCACAGTCTGCCTCAGCTTCCTTTGATAATTACTTAGACTCGTAATAATGATATACACTTCTTGTTTATTGTATAATTAATATTACATTGTGATGAGCCTAATTATTCAATGTTTATTTTTAGTTAAAGTTATCTGTATGAAAACTTATTATCTCGTGATGTCCTCAGATAACAAGAAGTATCAGAATTTGCAGCATCCGAAGGGGATTAACGATCTAACAGACGAGCTGCAGCTAGACAAGTCCTTTGGGGCAAAAGGTAAGGAATTTGTTCCAGAACCAGTTCTTGATATAACACAATGTGTTGTAACGCGCACATCCCTCGCTTGCTCCCACACTTGCCCCATCACCTTCCCCATCACCTTCCCCATCACCTGCTCCACCATCTCCCTCACCTGGTGTTCCACATAGGAAAATGTTGGTGAATCCATGTCTGTCTCTCCCACACAGGCGGTGATGACGGCGACTTCACTCCGCCGCCGCTTCTGGTACAGCGTCCGGGGCAGTTGCCGGAGCACATAGACCACGGCGGTGGCAATGGTGGCAGCGGTGGGATGTCCTGTCCGGCGGTGTTGCCAGTGGTGGCCGTCATGGTCTTCTTCCCTCTCCACCCGGCGCTCACAGTGTGAGAGTGGTTGCTAGGTCTCCTGATCTCGTCTGTGCGACTGTGGCGAAGGCTGTTAGGTCTTCTGGCCTCGTCTCTGCGACTGTGGCGAAGGCTGTTAGGTCTTCTGGTCTCGTCTCTATGACTGTGGCGAAGGCTGTTAGGTCTTCTGGCCTCGTCTCTGCGACTGTGGCGAAGGCTGTTAGGTCTTCTGGTCTTGTCTCTATGACTGTGGCGAAGGCTGTTAGGTCTTCTGGCCTCGTCTCTGCGACTGTGGCGAAGGCTGTTAGGTCTTCTGGTCTCGTCTCTATGACTGTGGCGAAGGCTGTTAGGTCTCCTGGTCTCGTCTCTACAACTGTGGCGAAGGCTGTAACAGCCTTCGCCAAGCCAGGAGACCTTTACCAGGAGACCAGGCCTTTAGGCCAGGAGACCTAATTAGGTCTCCTGGCCTCGTCTCTACGACTGTTTCTATTTTAAGAAACAAATGCGAGACAAATTACCTTTTTCCTGATGTCATGTCTGAAAGGATTACCTCAAGGAAGTCTGCCAGCTGTGAGATACATCATCTGACACTTGTAAGTAGTTTGTTTTGACATTACAGGAATCTTTCCAGGATCAGCCACTGCTCCAGTTCCTGCATCAACCAGGGCAGCCACGGCTCCTGTAAAGGCAGGCGTAAGTCGCCTTTCACAGATAAGAAAAGCGTGGGACTAAAATTAAGAAACCAGGTAATTTTGACCAACTTCCGATTTCTTCAAGATGCGGGTTGATGATCACCCTGATGAGTGAAGATACACTCAATGCAGGCGATGAGTCACAATAACGTAGCTGAAGTATGTTGACCAGACCACACACTAGAAGGTGAAGGGACGACGACGTTTCAGTCCGTCCTGGACCATTCTCAAGTCCGACCTGGACCATTTCTAGATCCACTCAAGCAGGTATAGCTAGGGTATAGGTTCTTAAGTGTGTATCCTGATAATAGCTGTTTGAGTGTGAGGAGTGATGTGTATCATGCTACAGTCTGCCTGGCAGGATATAAACATGCTACTTATACAAATCCAAGTCAGTCACATTTTCTTGCTTGAGAAACATATAAACATCTCTACATGATATATTTATATGTATCTTATATAAAGATATATATATTAAAGAAAAAAACTTTTCTTCAGAAATATATAGTCACTAGAAATGAGTTTGTGAACTAATGAGAATCATCGTCAGTGAGACAGCCTAAAAAAACATACGCCTGTCAAATCGTGAGAACAAGGTCGCTGGTAAATGAGAAACATTATGTATATCAATACTTAGCAACGTTCGTTAACTGTTTCAAAGTTGCAGGAACTGTGAGACGAGTCGCCGGAAGGTGTAACTACCTCCTACCTTGAGGTGCTTCCGGGGCTTAGCGTCCCCGCGGCCCGGTCGTCGACCAGGCCTCCCTAGCACTAGACGTGGAACAGAGGGGAAAAATAATTCTCTTGTGTTTACATAAACGAATTTAATGTAAACAGAGAAAGGGATTTGGTAGTTTGAGGGTTGAGTGAGTTGTGTAAATGATTCGAGGTCTTGCGACAGGTCTTAGTGACGTCTCAAAAGACCTAAACTACGTCTTTTGACGTTGAAAAGGACGTAGATATGACGTATGTATTTTTAACGTCAAAAAGACGTCAAAAATGTGTATTTCTTAGTCTTAAGGTTTTGGTGAGTGGAGATTATTATGGATAATCAGATTCACCTGTGTTTTGCTCAAGTGGTGTGCGTCTGTCAGTCAAGGGGCCCGTGTTGACAGGCAGGTGCCCACATCTGTCAGTCTAGGAACCCGTGTTGACAGGCAGGTGCCCACATCTGTCAGTCAAGGAACCCGTGTTGACAGACAGGTGCCCACATCTGTCAGCCAAGCGATTTCAAACTACACAGAGTCCAATAAACATTACACTGAGGCTCTGGGCCAGACCAAGCCCCCTAAGTCATTTATAAACTATTCACTGTAAACAAACTGAAGGGACTTAATATTTTAAATACATAAAACAAATACAATTCCGCTTCTTAGGTAGAATACAAAGAGGCTTCTCTTCTTATTAAGCTGGACTAGAGTTGGGGGCCTCCCTTGTGTCCCTGTTGATGTAAATAAGGTGATTGAGCACGTCTTAATGTCTAAGATATATTACCGTAACGAAGTCTTTACATCCTGTTAAGCAGTCCTTTGTCTCGTCTTGGAATTGTTGTGTCAACCTTTCACGTTAGTTTGAATAAATGGAATGGAAATCATAGACGTGTTTTTATTACAACCTTAGTTGATAGTGAATGGATATCTGGCATGTTTTGGATCACATATACGAAATTTTGTGGGTATTTGTGGGTGCGGATTTTGGTCACATTGGCAATGATTAGTGTTGTTTAAAGGTGGTGATGACTAGAATGTAGTTATCATGAGGGTTACCTTGAGATGATATCGTGGCTTAGGGTCCCCGCGGCCCGGTCCTCGACCAGGCCTCCTTTTTTGTTACACACCCCCAGGAAGCAGCCCGTAGCAGCTGTCTAACTCCCAGGTACCTATTTACTGCTACGTAACAGGTACATCAGGGTGAAAGAAACTCTGCCCATTTGTTTCCGCCTCCACCGGGGATCGAACCCGGAACCTCAAGACTACGAATCCGAAACGCTGTCCACTCAGGCCCCTGATAGGTACCATCGGCTTCCCAGCACCTTGCCCAACCACTTGGGCTGGACGGTAGAGCGACGGTCTCGCTTCATGCAGGTCGGCGTTCAATCCCCGACCGTCCAAGTGGTTGGGCCACCATTCCTTCCCCCCCGTCCCATCCCAAATCCTGACCCCCTTCCAAGTGCTATATAGTCGTAATGGCTTGGCGCTTTCTCCTGATAGTTCCCTTCCCTCCCGTACGAAATATATTTAAACACACTTTTCTGGCTCATACATGACGCCCCGCTCCTGTGCCAGGTAAGTCTGCTACGGGCTCACCATAGCCCGTGCTACTTGCCCCGCTCCTGTGCCAGGTAAGTCTGCTACGGGCTCACCATAGCCCGTGCTACTGGCCCCGCTCCTGTGCCAGGTAAGTCCACTACGGGCTCACCATAGCCCGTGCTACTGGCCCCGCTCCTGTGCCAGGTAAGTCCACTACGGGCTCACCATAGCCCGTGCTACTTGCCCCGCTCCTGTGCCAGGTAAGTCCACTACGGGCTCACCATAGCCCGTGCTACTGGCCCCGCTCCTGTGCCAGGTAAGTCTGCTACGGGCTCACCATAGCCCGTGCTACTGGCCCCGCTCCTGTGCCAGGTAAGTCTGCTACGGGCTCACCATAGCCCGTGCTACTTGGAACTTGTTCCGAGTAGCTGAATCTATAACAACAACAACGCTCATACATACACGGGAGACATTTCCCGCCACGCAGGGTGCAGTCGCACCTCCACAGATCTCCAGTATCATCTATTGATACTGGTGATGGCTCAAAAGGGCCACCACTTACGGGCTATTCATGCCCGTGCCACCTTTTGAGTGGCTTCATCAATCAATCAATCGCTCATACATCAGTGACGTGTGTCAATGACAGTACGACTCGACCCCAACTGGCGGCCAGATACCTTGCCAATGAATTTTTTACAAGATAGAGGAATTGGGAAAATATACTGTGACTTCCAGAGTGCACTTCTGGCACTCCTGGCACTCCTGGCATTGATCCCACAGTGTGGTAACACCCAGAAAATAATCCGTGACTTTGGAATGAATGTTTTAAGAACATAATAACATAAGAATAAAAATAACTGCAGAGGGCCTATTGGCCCATACGAGGCAGCTCCTATCACCCAATCCCACTCATATACATGTCCAACCCACGCTTGAAACAATCGAGGGACCCCACCTCCACCACGTTACGCGATAATTGGCTCCACAAATCAACAACCCTGTTACCGAACCAGTATTTACCCAAGTCTCTATTTTTTTCACACTTTTTTAGCTGCTAAAGAAAATAGATTTGAGATTAGATTCCTTTGAGTACCATCACATGTTGCCATCTTAAAAAGCATGGTAATGTTGATGTGCTTGCAAAGACAGCCTATAGAAGACTAGAATTAGAAATTAATATGAGTGTTTCATTAGCAATAATAAAGTGAATGCTGAGACGAGTGTCCAATGAAAATCTTACTAGCCTAACAAATTCACAAAGACCTGAAAGCAGTTGCATTAAACATTATGATCGTGAGGAGACATATATATGGGAGTGATAGAGCAAATAGAGATAGAATAATAGAGCAAGACTTCAGCCATGTGATGTTATAGTGGCCAGAATACACCTGAAATATTGACGTATCTGGCACCTTTCTCGAAATTCACATGTCGAATACACCCTGTGTAAACATTGTGGAGGTGTCGAATACACCATGTATATACTTTGTAAAGGTGTCGAATACACCATGTATAAACTTTGTGAAGGTGTAGAATACACCATGTATAAACTTTGTGCAGGTGTCGAATACACCATGTATAAACTTTGTGCAGGTGTCGAATACACCATGTATAAACTTTGTGCAGGTGTCGAATACACCATGTATAAACTTTGTGAAAGAGAAAACATCCATTCCCTTCAACATTATATTGTATAATGTCCCGTATTGACTAACCTCCACCCCCCCCCCTGGGCTGAGATATGCTGAACTCTATAAATACGACGGGCTCACCATAGCCCGTGCTACCTGGAACTTTGTTCCAGGTAGCGAATCTTTAACAACAACAACATCTGAAAATACTATCTGAATACTGGAACACTTGATATTCTGGACCTGTACCTGGGACTAAGGATACCTGATCAACCAGCTTGTGACACGTACGTCAGCCTCGTCCAACAGCCTGGTTGACCAGTCCAGCAACCAGGAGGCCTGGTTGTGGACCGGGCCGCGAGGACGTGGAGCCCCGAAATCATGGCAAGGTAAGGATATGTAATGCATTAGTTATGTGATTAACTAATTATGTAGTCAAAATTACCAATACGTAGTAATGGAGCCCTAATAAGCCACTTTTAGTACTATTTTTGTTATCTAGTCCGGAAAAAAATAAAGCCTAAATATTTTTAGGCCTACTGTCGCACGTATCTCTACGATATTAGGCTCCAGATAGCGTGAATTAAGCCTAGGATGGTTAGGTTTGGACTTGGCAACATAATTAAAAAAAAAACTTTTAAGGCTTGTTCAATTTGAATACAACAAAAGTCTACTTTTTTTGGTGGTCCATCACGACATAATTTGTACTTTCAAGCCCAGATCGTTACTAAAAGTACTTTCAATTGTAAGGGATGGCCCGGATAGGATTTAATAGCCTGATCTTCTGAAAGCACCTTAATTGGCTTTTTGTGGTTGAGTGCTTAATAACACACTAGTTTCTACTTCAGTTATTTTACCCCTATCAAAGTAGGAGAGACGCAAAAATATATTCGTGTATATGTATATATGTATGTGTATGTGTAAACTAGTTAGAATTGTATTTCATTTTCGCAAACGCACATTAAATCACATTCTGCGTACTCAATAATCAATTGTACTATATGTAAAAGAACATATCTCAAACCCCTGATTATGTAGGACAGACGTATATGTATGTATGTATAGTGTGTGTGTGTGTGTTAGTATAGTTAAAGCACAACAATCACCTGTGGTAGAATGCTCAATAACTCATTGCACAATATGATGTCCAACAGATCTCAACCCTGTCCATGGAGGACACAAGAAAAACAGTATATATATATATATATCCTGGTTACCATTGTAAATAAATGGATCTGTGGTAGAATGTAAACTATAAACACTAATTCCTATCTTCTCCCTGCCGCCTGTGTCTCCTCCCCTACTGGCCTCTCCTCTCCTACACCTGCCTCTCCTACACTTGCCTCTCCTACACCTGCCTCTCCTGCACCTGCCTCTCCTCCCCACATCCACCCTCCCTGCACCTTGGCCGTGACCTCAGAAGCAACAGACACACAGATGGCGCCGTTCGTCAGAAGAGGGCAGCAAACTGTGACATCAATTGGAAAATATTAGGCTTCTGACCACCCGCCTGAGTCCTGTGGTATGGACCTCTCCAGCTGTGCTGCTGTGCGGGCCGCACCTGATGCTGCTGTTTATTATTCCTGCTGTTACAGCTGCTGGTGCTGCTGGTGCTGCTGTTAATACTGTTTCTTCCTGCGCAGCTTAAGATAGCATCATGTCGGTGTTATGCACTAGGCTAATACTACTAATATTTCACTTCCTGTTGCTTAAGATGGCACGATGAATGAGAGAAACCTCACCTTACTTTACCTTGCGGTGATTCCAGGGGTCAAGGTCCAGGCGGCCCGGTCTCTGACCAGACCTCCTGGCTGGTGGACGCGGCTGCTCGCAGCCTGACGCATGAATCGCAGCCTGGTTGATCAGGTATCCTATGGAGGTGTTTATCAAGTTCTCTCTTGAACACTGTGAGGGGTCGGTCAGTTATGTCCCTTATGTGTAGTGGAAGCGTGTTGAACAGTCTCGGGCCTCTGATGTTGATAGTTCTGTCTTGAACACTGTGAGGGGTCGGCCAGTTATGCCCCTTATGTGTAGTGGAAACGTGTTGAACAGTCTCGGGCCTCTGATGTTGATAGTTCTCTCTTGAACACTGTGAGGGGTCGGCCAGTTATGCCCCTTATGTGTAGTGGAAGCGTGTTGAACAGTCTCGGGCCTCTGATGTTGATAGTTCTCTCTTGAACACTGTGAGGGGTCGGCCAGTTATGCTCCTTATGTGTAGTGGAAGCGTGTTGAACAGTCTCGGGCCTCTGATGTTGATAGTTCTCTCTTGAACACTGTGAGGGGTCGGCCAGTTATGTCCCTTATGTGTAGTGGAAGCGTGTTGAACAGTATCGGGCCTCTGATGTTGATAGTTCTCTCTTGAACACTGTGAGGGATCGGCTAGTTATGCCCCTTATGTGTAGTGGAAGCGTGTTGAACAGTCTCGGGCCTCTGATGTTGATAGTTCTCTCTTGAACACTGTGAGGGGTCGGCCAGTTATGTCCCTTATGTGTAGTGGAAGCGTGTTGAACAGTCTCGGGCCTCTGATGTTGATAGTTCTCTCTTGAACACTGTGAGGGGTCGGCCAGTTATGTCCCTTATGTGTAGTGGAAGCGTGTTGAACAGTCTCCGGCCTCTGATGTTGATAGTTCTCTCTTGAACACTGTGAGGGGTCGGCCAGTTATGCCCCTTATGTGTAGTG